CTAAATTTTGTTTATAATAGAACTTACACATGAAACTAATTTCGGAGGGATTTTCATGTAGAAATTGAGAATCAAAAATTACGGAATCGAAGAATTTAATGCTACTTCGGTAACATTACGACTTTTTGGAGAGAAAAGCAACAGAGGAGATCGCCAATGTCGGATGCATTGTCAACAATGCTGCTGACTTCCAAAACTGGTAGATTTTATCAACAATGCTGCTATAGCGATAGATTTTTCAGCAAAACAGCAGCAAATTCCTATTCCGAGTATCAACGGTGCGAAACTACGCCATTCTCCGCGCCTTTTACGTTGAAATACAGCATTTGTCATCATTATATAGCATCTTCAATTTCTTTCATAAATAATAAAGTGTCCATTATAACCATTTTTATTAATAACCAAAGTAATATTAAAAGTAACAAATGTCATAATACAAAAAAATGTAAGAACGGTCTACGTAGCGATGGATTAATCCAGCAAGACGGTCCATGAACCGGTTAAAAGACTGGACTGGATTGTATTGTTTTTGGTCCACGGTTTAATAACCAGTCTAAGACCGGCTGATATTTTTAATTAATCAACTATTATTATTAAAATTAGATATTTTCATTTTGTTTGTTTTAACAATGTGCGCCAGTTTAAATTAATTTCGTTTTGTTTGCTTTAACAATGGAATCTTAATGACGTATTTATTAATATAAAATCGAATTATATTTTCTTTTATGAGATTTCGTGCTTTACTTTTTACGTGGTTCACACACATTCTACTTTTTACACATGAACTTCTCATAATGAGTGATAACCAAGATTATTTACCTAACCATCTACAAGATGACGAAGAATATAATACTGATAATACTAACTTTAATGGTGAAGATGAGAACCAAGATCACCAAATACAATCCATTCGATTACCATTACAATCACGAAAAAGAGGAGCACCTTTATCATTTGTATGGGAATACTTTGATAAAAACACAGTAGAATATCCTGTTCGTCCTGTTTGTCAAATATGCAAAGCTTTATTTGCAGCAACAACAGGAACATCAACTTTGAGACGACACTTAGACATACACAAAATCATTGTACCTAAAAAACGTCAAAGAACTTTATATGAATACCGCACTGATCCTCATCCTGAAAGTGAGCAACAAGAACGTGATAAATTTGTTGCTATTTGGATTGTATGTGATGCTCAACCTTTTAGTATTGTTGAATGTGAAGAATGGCAACAAATAATTTCCAAGTTTGATCCAAGATATTGATTTCACATCGACATGCAATAAAGGATCGAATAATGATATTGTTTCAAGAAAAAAAGGTACAAGTAAAATCAGTAATAAGTCAAATATCAGGAAAAGTAGCTTTTACTACAGATATGTGAACAGCAAGTAAAAATGCAGCTTTTCTTAGACTTACTATTCATTATGTTGACACTTCTTGGAAATTAAAATCCTTTCTTCTTGATATATTCCAATGACTGTTCGTCATACTGGAATTAACATGGCAAATGCCATTTTATCAGTTCTTCGTGAATTTAATTTAATTTTAGCATTAACAACTGATAATGCATCTTCAATGATTACTTGTGGTGCATCTATATCAAAAGAACTTGAAAAAGAATTTGATAATTTGAATTTTGCTCATTACCAATGTGCCGCTCACATTTTGAATCTGGCAGTTAGTCAAGGAATTGAATTAATTGATAAGTATGTTGAAAAAATACAGTTTTTAATAATTTATATTAAAAACCTCACAACCAACAAATAATAATTTAAAAGCATTATGCAAAATGAAAGGAATCATTTATTTAGCACCTGAATTAGATATTAAAACTAGATGGAATTCCATTTACTATATGTAAAAAAGTGAAAATGAATGGAATCAGCCTGGAATTTGCTTACCACTGATAACAAAACAATTCATTAATGATACCTTGATAATAATGATCATAATAATATTAATGGAGGCAAAAATTAATATATAATGACTTAATTAATAATTATATTAACTTATTATTTTTTAATCAAATAAGATACTATAATTCTTTTGGAACCAATTGAATGTGCAACTCATTTTTTATCTGCTTCAAATTATGTGACTCATGGTGATGTTTGTTTTATTTTTCTTGGAATTCAAGAACATTTAACTCGACACATGAATAATGATAGTTTTTTGCAATTCATGATGACAAATTCAATTTATCAAAAACTAGATGATTATTGGCCAATTGTGAATAAGGAATTACAAATTTCTTCTTTGCTAGATCCAAGAACAAAAATTATTTTCATTTAAAAATGAAATTAGGCTAAAAATTTAATATCAAAGTATTCTTTAGTATCAATACCAATTATAACAACTACAACAAATAATATTATAAATATATAAAACTTCTTTTGACAATTACAAGGAAATAACAATAATAATAATAATACTTAAACCATTTCACCACACATATATAATATTAAAGGTGAATTGGAAAAGTATTTAGCAATACCATAAGAAGACTAAATTGATCTCTTGCTTTGGTAGCAAGCTTAACAACAAGAATATTCAATTTTAAGTCAAATTGCAAGAGATTATTTATGTATTCAAGCTCTGCAGAACAGGCTTTTTTCATGGCTGGACAAACAATTACAGAATTAAGAAATAGACTGGAAGCAGAAACAGCTAGAGTAACATTGTGTTTAAAGAGTTGGTTTCGCAAAAATGTTATTAAAAAATAACACTATATTATTTAAATAAGGTTTATAGTTATTTAATTTATATGATATTATTATAATAATAATAATATAATAATAACGATAATATATATTTATTAAATAAACTTGTCTAAAAAAACTGGGTTTGAACTGATATGAAACTGATTTACAGGACCATTAATAAACTGGGACTGATCTAAAAAGGGGGCAAGACCGGTCTTTTTGGACTAGGACTGAACTGGACTAACCCTAGGCCTACGGGCTACAAATAATATAATTGAAATTGCGTATAATTCTTCTCCAAGCAAAATAAAACTTGAATTATTGCGTACAATTATTCTCATTATTGCTTGTAAAACTCTTCCCCCATTAATTGTTATATTGATTGTCCTTTGTACCAGAAAAGGCATTGTTTTGTGAAATCGTATTCATGTGAAAACGTGATATTATTGTGAAAGTCGTTATTGTGTAATCGTTATTATATTTTTAAGAGTTTAAGGCTTTTATCTAGAAAAAGCAACAATTGCTATTAAGAGTTTAAAACTTTTAGCTAAAAAAAGCAACGATCAAAACCCCAAAGCACCTACCTGAAACACATATTCTCTCCCAAAATCAATATATATATATTGATTTTAGCTTTGCAGCAATCGCATTCCAAATTTTACTCGCTAAATATGGATCTCATATCTAATTCTAAAAATCAAAATATCGGCCTTCTAAACACATTTGCTCAAGATTTCACGGAACTCATGAAAGATGACTCCCTATACGACTTGAAAATTATTCTCCCCAACGGAAAAACTATCTTGAGCCATAAGTGAGTACGGAAGTTATCAGCGTGTCCTTTTCTATTATGATCGATTCGCTAATTTGCGATAATAAATAGATTTTGCATAATTATTCGTTCCGCGAAATTCCGTAAAATTATCCAAGAATCGAATATCATAACTGAAGCCACAAATCCTAAGTCCAGTCATGTCAAAGTAAAATCCCCAAAAATCCCACGATCTCAGTTGATGGAAGAAATTTCATTGAAGAAAATTGTGGGTTCTACCTTTCTATCAGATAAAGCCGTATCAAACGCATTTGAAGAATTATTCTTTTATTTCTATCATGACACACTCAATGCGGGCAACTGGGACGTAATTATGGCAAATAGAGAAAATTTTTTGGCATTTATTCAACTTATCAAAGTACTTGAAATGAGGCATCTCGTAGAACCTACGTTGGAGAAAATTAAAGCATATTTATCCTCAAATAATGCTGTTGACCTCTTAAATGGAATCATGAAATTGATTGATCATTTGATTGAGAACGAAGAAAATAGTGTAGCGTATTTTTATGGTGAAGCTGCTCAAAAATGCATTGAATTCTTTAAAAGCATGAATGCGCTTGTCGAAACCAATTTTAGGGCATTCAGCATGGGAAATCTGTCACTCGAATCTTTCAATTATCTTATGGAAAATATTTATGTTAAGGTAACCATCGAGAATAATTTGTTCACATTATGTTTAATACTAAAAATACTGCCAATAAATAAAAATTAATTTAGGACCGCAATAATTACCAAGAGACGAACAAGTTCCTTCTTGTCATTAATTGGTTCAATTCTACCAAATCTGATACTGCTGCCAAAACTCAAGATTTGTTTCAACATATCGAATTTCCGTTGATTCAGACTGTAACACTTACTACAAAGGTTATATTTTTGAAATTTCTTAAATAGTGTGCATCTATTAAAAATTTTCTAAATATGAAGAATCTTTTAGATCTCTGATATCAAAAGGATTTCCCCTAAAAGATATCAAGATGTACTTGATGCCGTAGTGATCCAATTGGCGAAGAAATGCGCGGAAATTGAGTCTTTACAAGATCAACTGAAGACTCAATACGAACAAATAGTAAATAATCGCAACAGAGGATATTACTATTAGTTGATATTATCTAATAGATAGTTATTTCTGCATATTTTAATATGATGTAACTTGTGAAAAAACAAAATTAAAAAATCACAAATTTAA